CCTATAATTTGTCTATATATGTCTCACAGTTTGTTTTTCTGTCTCCTCCTCATCCCAATATTCCAGAAATGCAGTGGGTTGGCCAGCTGAGTCTATCACTGGGACTGAATGTTAAACAAAAACACAAGGGTTTGTTATTCCCCGAATGACTATCAATATCCTCTCGTAAAAATATACCCATAAAAAAAATCCAACCTCCCAACCTTTCTCAACCGCCTTGAATATGATTGGATGTTACTAGTCAGCTGGTAGCCAAACAGCATATAAATGAGCCGGTGATGCCTGAATGAAGCTGCTGATGCCAGTCACCTGCTTTACCTGAACTAACACTATGTTCAATCCAATTTTGTCATGCCATGTCCTCAGATAGGCTGCTAGTTCGACGATAACACTAAAAACCAGCCAGCCAGTCAAGTTGCAGTTTACTAAAACATCTAAAACGTTGTGTTCACACGGAGGAATACAAACACACAGCCTCCGCACTCATTTCAGTGCCAATGTAGAGGGCTCCATCCAAAAAAGAAAACGCAGGGTCATCCAGCAAAGTTGAACTCGACTCGACGTCCATGATCCAACATCATCTGGAAAAGTACTGCGTTGGCCAACAAAAAAAGGCCACATTTCCTGGTGTATTACTTTCAAAAGTGAATGATGTAAATCTATTGTTTACCTTGGAATTGTAGTCAGAGGATATCAGAGGATTGTTGCTGCTGAGTTGTTGGATCATATTTGTTAGAATTACAAAGCATTTTTAGGTATTTCTTCATCTGATGCACCTTAGTGTTTTGTTATGTAGAAATATTTGTCAGACTGCAGCCTTTGACAGAGTCATGGACCATGGCACAACACTTTAGATTGGTGATTAGACAACTATAAGGTAAGAACAAATGCGAAAATACAGGTCAAAAGGTAACGAAGGGTGGAGAGGTCCTTCCTGCCAAGCAGCATGAGATCATAAGGACTAAGTGCATCCTTGTTTGATGACTTGTTTGACAACTCTCATTAGAGATGTACCTTTCATAGATAGCTACCATTGCTTGCTAAAGTTACAGTGACTTTGATAATGGAAGTGTAATGTTTTCTGTTTTTTGTAAAGTTTGATTTCCTTGTGTTTGTGTAAAGGTGTAGGCATGACAAAAATTCCCTGTGCTGAAAGCCACCCACAGCAGCTGTAGCTGTTTTCACGGAATAAACACAATGCGAATCGACATCAATCTTTGGAAACCAACAACCAGACATCACTTACCCAATGTTTAGCCCAATAAAACATTGGTCCTATAATTTCAAGCCCCATGCAATGGCTAGACAACCAAAGAAGAAAAAAATGTTGTTGCTCTTCCTCGGAAAAGCAACTGCAACCCTGACAAACTGCAAACCCCAAAACAACAATACTTTTTGTTCCTAACTAACACTTGTAAAGATATACATCCTCTCCTGTTTTCCCTTTTGCCTCTAAAAGCCACTCAGTGCTTATTCAGCACCAACAAATGTGAAGCCAAATGACAGAGGAAACACTCCACTTTCCTGGAAACCCTTTCTCTCTTGTTTCTGTGAGAGGGACTCATTTTAACAGAGTGTATCAGTCTGTATCAGGCCTATAGCCTACTTACCGGACACATTTTAATACTCATCGAGAACGCCTAGTCTCAAGCAGCTAAATAGGAGCTTGTGATTATGTATGTTTGCGTAAGTGCACTTGCTGATGCTTATCAGGCATTTCTGCTCATGTCTAAAGCTATAATTATGTTTATATATGTGTGTGATGCCATCCAAGTCAAATTAAGCAATGACCACACTGTCACCATCATATGATAGGCGTACTAAGATACGCGTACGCACACACACACACACACACACACACACACACACACACACACACACACTCACCTCCACTGAAACAGAATGAGAGGAGACTTACACCTATTCTATTTTAGCAAGGCCTATTTCAAGCTGCCGCCGAGACACTTTATGGGCAGTGATAGAAGGTAGCCAAGTAACCTTTGACCTTTGGCTATCTGGCAGACCAACCAAAACAAGGTCGGGGGGGAATCAAGGACATCAAATGTCCCTCTTCAGAAAAAAAGTACTGTCATTTTGTGAATTGTCCTTTAATTGTTGCAAAATTATCATTTGCAGGTGCTGGACGAGAACTGGAAAAGAGCTTTACCTCGGCATGAGCTGCAAAATCAATGCAGACAATGCATTTACACTTGAACATGCATCTATATATGTATCACAATATCAATGGTTGTAATACAGAACCAAGAAATAACACAATTATCAATGAACATCAGGAGTTATTGCAGTGCTTAAAAAAAACAAGCTGACCATCCCAACAATCAAACAACAGGCTCGCTGCTATCGCTAAGGGCGTAGCATTGCTTCCTTTTTTGGGTGGCGGAGAAAGGAGCACTTTGGTCACAGAGTGACCACCGCTCCCTCGAAAGGAAGGCCCTGTCCATGCCTGTGGCTGAACCCAGCAATGTCTCGCAACCCGCTCACGCCCCACAGGGCCTTTGGCTTCTCTGCGGTCATGATTTCAACACAAATAAAGGCTCGTTTATTTAACATTTACATCGAGGACAGCATGAAGACCTTAAAATGCTGAGCTGGGTTGATATTTGAGACAAAACACAGTACATAAGCTGACTTTTCTCTATTTATTTTTGACTTTTATTTTGTTTTCCTCCTGTGATGATATGATACTTGTAATGTGGGAGCAACTTAGTGACGCATTAAAGTGACTTAACAATATTGTATACCCAAAAAGCTTAATTATTTATACAGAGAGAAGCTGCTAACCGATGTCTTGTATCAGAAAAACATTCCTACACTGGCTTGAACTTAAACCCGACTTCAGTTTGACCCCATCGCGTGGGAGTTTTAAAGAGATGCGAGTGTGAAAAAGTCTTTAAACTCCATTAGGACGGAGGCGGAATCTTTCCTCTGTGTCACGCAGAAAAACAAAAGCAGCCTTGTTACAGAGGTCAGCTTGGTTACATGCCGTTTATGTGAGTGTGTGTGTGTGTGTGTGTGTAACTAAAAAAGGATCCCAGCATCTTCTCAACCACATTAAAGTGAATTTCTACAGTCACATGTACAGTTTACATAACATTCATGTATAGCGATCTTTCACCAAGAAGTTCATTAAGGAGTATTTCACTAAAAATACACTTCAAGACACAATCTACTCACTAATACCGACCAGCTAATGAAGAGGGCTTGAGCAGCCTGTTATTGGCAATTCACTCCTACTGAGGTTTGTTCGCTGAGAATTGCCACAAAATGACAAAACTGTTCCAAGTATTCCAGTGGTAATGGGTCACATGCAGATACACAATGTGATCATTTACTTACTGTAAATAAGCTGTGGGGAAATTACTGTTAGCGTAATGTGGCCATAAGGGCCATGGCTGTAAACATTAATACCTTGTAAACTTTACAACACACGAGGGGGGGTGGTGACAGACACTATATACGTATTCAATTTGAATTACGCTGTGTGCAATGAGGTGAAAAAGTCACTACCCCGTCCATCTCCTTCATGAATCACAAGTGAAAGACAAATCTCTAAGATAGTACATCTACCACAACTTTTAGTGTGTACATGTTTTTCTTTTAATGTTTGGACTCAACTCTGGCAGTGTCTGTGCCAAGCTTGACCCGGTGAAGTACAAAAGGACAGCATCTGTAGAGTTTAATGCTAAATACAATCTATAACCCAGCTGGTCTTACCGTCTGTGGTGTCCTCACAATTCTGATTGAAGTTTTCGTAGGAGTCCCAGCGGATCAGGGTGTCTTGTGTGTTGTAGTCAACCGAGACGCTCGGCCCGTTTTCCAGCTGATCCACACCTTGACCCGAAGTACAAAGAGACAGAGCGGAACATGTGAATGTCTTTAAATCATGAGAGAGAGAAAAAAAAGATCATTCATATCAAATGAATGAAGAAGAGTCGATAGATTACTTCTTTAATAAGTTTGAATTTAACTTTAATATGATTGTTTCCTTTTCAAGTTGTTCACTCTGTTTGATTCATAACAGATTTGAGTGCGAGGGAGAAATACAATGATGAATGTGCAGGGCATCACGTAAGATTATTGGATAACATGCGTACTACCAACTGGAACGACCCCAGTTCAAACCCAGCCGGGGTCTTCTGTTGCATGTCATCTCCCCCACATTTCCTGTCTGTATCTCAACTATATACTGCCAAATAAAGGCAAAATGCCCTGAACATAAGTATGCAGGTGAAGTATAATGTGCGGAAAATCATCCCGTATACCAATAAAACAGAAACATTTATTCTTACCATGTATTTTCTCTGGTCCAAAGGAGAAAATAAACTCCACTTTTCCATATTCTGGAAACCTATCATCTGCACAAATGGAATAAAAAAGGGAAAATTAATCTTAAATTTACAGCAAAATTATTAAAAATCCAATCCGTCCATTGAATACATCATTAAGTGTAGGGAGTGGGGAGTCAGCAGTTAATTAAAGGCAATCTCAAAAAGGCAAATAAAGTCACTGCATGAGTCACTGCAACCACGAGAGGTACTTGAGCAATCAGTCATAAATGAGCACACAAAATATCATTCAGTTTGGAGCAGCAGTATGTGAGATTAGCCTTGGACAGACACAGAGATGCACGCACACACACACACACACACACACACACACGCGCGCGCGCGTGATCCATCTCATTATCTCCTGGCGGAGATAACAATGGGGGTAAAATTTCAAATTGAATGGACATTCAGAGGACTTTGTCCCAAATGTCTTACCTTTGAATGTCTCATCAAGCTCGCCTTTCCCAAACACAATCCCCAGGTCGTGAACAGCGCAGGTGTGAAACTGCACCCGGAAAATCACGTCTCTGCACGGGCTACGGTAGCGCTTGTGGTAACACTTGAGCTGGAGGGTGAGAACCATCAGAGGAGCTTCAAACAACACTGTACAGCAGCAGCATTGCACCAAGCAGCAGCACCACCAGGACTCAACAGACCCGTTTATTAGGGTGGGATAGCAGTTAGGGTACACTGACAATCACATAAATAACCATCCCAGGTGTTAACTCTGATAAGACTAAAAACAAAAAAAAGAAGGTTTTCAGCAAAAAATAAAGCTGCAAGATGAAATCAATTCCAAGAGCTGAATCGCTGAGCTGAACAAAATATGAAATGATCTTTTTGAAACACGAGCCAGAGACATGCCAGCTTGATTCAGTGCTCTCTACACTGGCTCAGAGCTAGAGAAAGCATTTAAGACGTTATATATATATATATATATATATATTTTTTTTTTTTTTTTTTTTTTTATATCCCTCGTAATGTATGGCCTCTCCACAAGCTTTAAGAGCAACACTAAAACCACACACAGGAAAATCTGGTGTCTCCCTCCTGCTGTTTCCTGATGGGCAGCCTGGACCTGTTTTTTACAAGGACCTCACATTTACAGGTACTAGAGGAATATCCCTCAACTCAAACAATTTGCAGCTCACAAACTGCAGCTGTAAAGAATTAAAAAAAAAAGATAGAATTACATAGAATTTACGATAGTATACCGAAAAATGGCAATTGCAGGAAATCAACAGCAGCTAAACACTAAACTGGAATATGACTTTGAGAAAGGTGGGACTGACTTGCGTTAAACAAACCTAATTTCTACTTGTGGGGCCGTATTAGACCAAAACATATACGGTCCCCAAAATCCACACAAGCACATTAAGGATTGAGGATGAGAGGAAGGCAAAAAAGAATATCCTGTGGCTCAGTGGGGACTAACTGGGGATCTGGCAAACCTCCCACCGAGGGGTCCGTTTCACGGGGAGCTCAATGCTGCTGAGCCAAGTTTGAGAACAAAAAGAAGAAGGAAAACATTCATTTTAAGCTTACATGTTGCATTCATGTTCACACACAGGCTTAACACTAACCAAAGCCCTTTCCACCCCCACATAACTAAGCTGTAATGTTAAATGAAAAGTTAAGTTCCTAACTTTTTGCTAACTTGAATCTGAAGTGTGAATTAAAAGGACTGACAATACAGAAGCAAACAGCTAAAACCTGAAGAATTTGAAACAGTTTTCCTCTGTAATTATCTTTTTTTTTTAATCTAACCAGTCAGTAATGAATCATTTATTGGGCAGTCATATTATCCATAACTCATTCCCTCAACCACATACCAGAGCTAGTTTTAAATGCAGAAGCACACTCCGTGCTGACTGATATGTCTCTCCCATTCGGCCATAAGGCCAGAGCTCACATTCCCTGTTATCTGAATAATAACGAGCATCACCACGGCACGGTCCGCTGATGCAGTCAGCTGAATCCATTAGTCCGTCTTAAATAAAGGATGAGATATGAGCTCAGCTCTAAAGGGGCCAAAACCAAATGGCCTTGGGCATACAGTAAGTGCTCCTTTGAAATTCTCTATGCTGAAATCGTGAGCCCCGAGGAGAACATCACGGCCTGAATGACAGCAGAAGCAGAAACTTTGCTGATGTCTGCAGTTCTTCTGCTTGAACTAAAATCAAAATAAGTCACAAGGACTTTATTGAGCACATCCCTTCTTCATTTAAAAAAATCTGTTTTAAAAAATCCCCAAAATATCTCTCACAACAGAACAGAAAATAACCACAACTTTCGAATGATTATGTCATGGTAAAGAAAAGTACCCTGTGTATCCCAGACGCAGTTGGAAAGGAAGTACAGTGAAGTACATTGCCATTTTGATGTCATAGTTTCCAGCAAACATATTGTGTGCTAATGAGGGTCTATAAAGTGAGGTATAGGACCCGGTCCAAGCCGTCTTCCCCCAGGTTTTTATGGCCCTATTTCTTCTATGAATGGACACCATAAACTGCTGAAGCATATGCATTCAGTACATACACCCAACGTCAGGATTGGAAAAAATTACACTGGAAAAAAAGCAAGACAATAAACTGTCTCTGTTATTGGCTTCACACAGATGTTAACGTGACGTAAGACAAAAATGTTTCCGGTTTCTTATTTACTAGTTGAAATGAGATCCACACAAGTAAGCTCTTATTTGGTGTCGTTTTAATGTAGTGTGTCTGTGCCATTCTTACCAAAATGTCCCCTTTCAGAAGAAGACCAGGTTCAATGGTGATGCAGATGCTGGTCTGGCTGTCACCCTGAACATTACTGCAATAGGAAAAAGCCACAACGTGTCAGATAACAAGCCTGCCTTCATCAGTACTGCTTGTCAAGACGACCACGGCACAATCCGACATCGCTCCATTGCGTCGGCTTACGGTCTACCTTCTGTTTGATGCTGCTTGTCTGGGTATCACCGTGCCCATGTGATCTACATCGTCTACTAACAATCCCCTGTTTGCTTTAACAGTGGCCAACGTAGAGCGTAACCGCTGAGCAGAGCCGGCCTAATTTTGGGTATCAGTGTCTACGTGATTGTCGAACTGGAAAAGTAGGATCAAAGGGCGGAGAGTGTTAATAGAGAGCACATGAGAGAAGGTAGCGAGCAATGTGAGCTGGGGCTTTGAGCGGCTGCCAGTCTGGAAGTACATGTGCACTGATTGTGTCACACTTAGTTATGGTGTATGCTGTGAATGTTTTTACAATATTGGCACTATTGTAAGAATGGACATGGTAGAAACAGTCCCACGCCAGCAGGCTTTGCTATTTACAGACCTGACTTTAAAACACTTCATAACAGCGCCACAGTTAAAATAAGGGGGGGTAATTAGGTATAGGCAGGACAAAGGGATCAGAGAGTTTAAAGCTGCACTGGTGTATTTTATAGTAACAATGGTTAAAATGAGTATGTGTAATGTAAAAGGTGTTGCTTGTAGTAACAAGCTCTTTGAAGCATTTTAGCATCTTTCAGCTCACTGTTTTGGTGTTCTGGCCCACAGACTCTGTTGGAGTTGGAGGAGACCAACAGAGCTAAAAGGAAAGTGAATATTGGACTTTCATTCATTGGGTGGCCAGAAACATGACTGCAAATTAGTGAGCCGAAGGAGTGTCTGATGAACCTGCACAATTTTGGCTGAAACCGCCAGAATCTGACCCGGTGGCACCAATGACCAGCATTAAGAATAACTATATAGAAGAAAAAAAACTTCTCGCTGATGGTTTTGTTTATATATTTAGGTCATATAGTTTCATGACTAGTTTAAAGTTCCTCACAGTAACTTTAAGATTCAAAATGCTCGTCAAGTATACAAATTGCACTTTTAGCTATAGAAACTGCATGATCGAACATTTTGCATGCATGTTCTTTCAGACAGGAATAAGCAGTTTTTAATATCAGAGTGAATAATAAGCTGCGTCTGTTATATTTCAAATAAAAGTGCTTTTAGATGTGGTGTAAATGTAGCCTGTATGCCTGCCTCACACATCTGAGGGCAGTGCAGCTCTCCCCTCCTCTCTCCTCTAACATGCCCTCTTCCCAAAACAACAAGAGGAAATCATAGAATCCATTTATTTCTATTTTCCCTGGCCCTAGGAACCGGTGGGGTCCTCTCACAGGAAACCCCTGCAGGCGTCCACACGGATGCCTGTCTGCCGGTTTCATTGGCTCTCCGGTCACAAACGACACAAGAAGTGATTTGCGTGATCTAAAGTGGAGAAACTAGAGCCTGCAGCTGGGGAGGCTAAATAAATACAATAATGTGAGGGAAGCACAGAGTGTAAACTGGCAAGAGGGGGGGTGTATGTGGATATTGGGGGGCAGTGGAGTTAAGGGAGAAGCTATACAGAAAAATCAGGTTTTTTTTTACTATTGAGCCATTATGAGCTTGCTATCCCTGGAATCTTGTCAAAGCATTTGAGTGTGAGTGTGCTTTAAGACTTACTAGATCCCAGATGTGTACACGGGCTGCATGGCCTGGTAGATTTTGAGAAAAGGACGACAACCTGGAACACAATTTTGAAAAGCTGTTAAAACAGAAATAGTGTGCGTTTCAAAAAATGCGGATAACACGAGTGCATTTCTGTGCACAACACCCACCTCCTTTAGACTCGAAGTTGGGGATGCCGTGCATGATGACGTGGTGGAGGAACAGCGGTTTGTTGTTGATCTTAATGTGTCCGGACAGCAGGCCGCTGAAGTACTCCACATACCTGAGCGACGCAGAGGCAGAGAACAGGAGGACATGAACATGCTGCTATGGTGTCAAGGTGTATCATGAATCTTAATATTTTACAACAAAGGGATGAAGGTATAATCCTGTGTTCATCACAACAACGACACAAAGCTCTTGGATTTGACCTCTCGTAACAAAAATGAATGTTGCCAGCCGTGCTGAATGAGCCAACCTTGCACCTTGTTCTTACTTTGGACATAATCAATCAACTAAATACTTGGAAGCTGCCTTCAGTAATCAATATTTTTAAATCAACAATTGATCAATCTGGGAACTCATCGTCTATCGGTCTGACGACGATTTAGCCTCTAAAGACAATATTCCGGTGGTTCCGGTGTAGCCAGTGGATAACTGGGCCAAGATTGCGTCTCACAGCGACTAAGTACACTTTTAATATATACGATCTGTGGGTCAAACTCACACTATAAACAATAAGTGGGGGAAGGCTGACCTTTTCTGAGATGGCTGGCCAACAGGAAGCACTTTGTCTTCATAGAAGCGCTTCATGGCAAACCTGTCCAGAGCCTGGTCAGCACTGCATTCAAACACAAAAAAAATGGTACATGTGAGTGAAGTTTACTTTTATTTCCACAATGTATATCTACTGTATTTTTTTTAAGAATGGAATATGACGTGTGTGTGTGAAGACTTTGACACAGTATTGTCATGTAAGACATCTGTCTGCACACCATGACTTGTACAGGAAAATATTTCAATGAAAATTAAAGCAATTTTCTAAGTCACAAGACACCTCTTAATCTCCACAAATGGTCCGCTAAAGGCATCACTCATCTGAAACATATCTTCAATAATAACACCATGGTTTCATTCCTCCACTTGGTTCAGAAGTACGGCATCAGGAGCAACCAATTTTTGGAATATCTGCAACTCAAATCATCCGTTCAATCCAAACTTAACACTAAGGCCACTAACCTAGAACTACCCCCCTCAACCTCAGAATTAATTAATATCCCCTCCTCAAAAAAGTTAATCTCAAAAATATGTAGATTAATATCACAGTCTGACAAAACATCATCCATACCATCAAGAAAATGGGAATCAGACCTGTCCATCACTCCTGATGCTGATTTCTGGAACCAAATCTGCAATAACATCTACTTCATGACTAAAAATGCCAATTTACAACTAATACAGTATAAAATACTTCACAGAATTCATTACACTGGGCAAAAAATGTTTAAAATGGGATTCACGTCAGATATCTGTCCACATTCCACTCAAAACAGCCCGGATAGCTATGTTCACGCCACCTGGCACTGCACACCAGTTAATCACTTTTGGAAAGAAATAACTGAGTCACTGTCTATCTTCCTGGGCTGCCTCGTCCCATTATGCCCTTCACTGTGCTTACTAGGAGACATCTCAACAATACATCTGAGTAAAACAAATCGCAAATTACTCCTCGTGGCCCTAACTATCGCCAAGAAAACTATCCTCATGAACTGGAAATCAAGAAATAACACACACATCACACACTGGAGAAAGTTAATGATAGAATATATTTCAATGGACAATCTAACCTCGTCCATCATATACAATACAACAGAACACCACTCCACCTGGTCATCCCTCACTATGTTTCTGCAAACGTGACATCACCCATCCTATTAATATTAAAATTTGTATAGTATATATCTATTTTTTTTAATGTATTTATTGCTATTATTGATTTTTGTTTTGTTGTTTTTCTTGCCTGACAACCAATTGAAACCCACGTACATGCATACATGAACATCCATATGCACACATACTTTGTTGTTTTTTAATTATTATTATTATTATTTTTTTTTTTCTCCCATCTCAAAAGGCTCAAGGACATTCTCACACACACACACACACACACACACACACACACACAGACTATATGATGTTTGCTAGCTTTTATTCCACTGTTCTTGTCATCCTATTGTTGTTATGTCTATGTATTGTCTAATATTGTCTCTTGCCTTTCAATAAAAAAAAAATAAATAAAAAAAAAATAAAAAATTAAAGCAATCAAACGCTCCTTCAGACACACTTAATGTCAGAAATCACACAGGGGTCAACACAAAAATAGGCATAGGATTGATAACATGTAGAAATAATATTCCCTGTCATGTCATGCAATGTAAGCCACGTGTGTCCAGGTGTGTCTTATTGTGTGTGTCTGACAGCTAATTCTGCATAACCTTTGATTCGTATAGCACACAGTAAAAGATGTTATTGTGATATTTTGCACAACATCGTGTGACGAGTGTCACAGTGTTTTCACGCTGTGGTAATTTGCTGCAACTTAACTATTCAAAGCGACTTCACACCAGCTTTAGGTTTGTTATAAAATGAGTTCTAAGAGAAATCTAATACTTTCACAGGAAAGAGAACAAAATCATTTATTTTCCTGGACAATCAGTGCGCTAGACTAAACAGCACCAAGTCATGCGCTCTTCTTCTGACTGTTTAACAGTTTACATCTCCTTGCTTTTTGTAACAGAATGCCATTCTGTTCTGACATACCTAAAATCAAATCCAATAAAAACAAAGAATAAGAGGGGCACTCATAATTTGAGTCTTATGATCGCTAACTCATCGCTTTCTGCTCAAAATGATTATATCAAACACTTTTCCTTTCTTCCTTTCGCCAAATGAAAGTGTTTTTCTCCAGTCTCGAGTTCCACCACTCGTCCTTCCGTTCATCACATCTCCGTCTGTTCCTTCAACGGGGCCTCAGTCTTGTGATGAACAATACGGGTTTATCTATTTTCTCCTGTTATGTCTCCTGTTTGTGTCTCCCCCTACTGCACGTTTGTTTTCCTAAAAAAATACAGATGAATCTCACTCCCTCTCTCTCCTTTGCTGTCCTCTCTCTCTCTCACAGTGGGCTGTGACTTACCCCTCTGCAGGTATAATTGGGATTATAGACCTACCTGGCAGATATGTTGCTGTAATGCATGTAGGCTGCCACCACCACTCCAGTTCTGCCCCGGTTGCCCTGAAAAGACATCAATCGAGCAAGAGTCAACTACAGATATCTTCCAGATCACGGTGGTGTCACAAGAACAATTTGTTTTTCTACATCTTCATAATATAGGGGTCATTTAATTTTGGTGTTGTTTTTAGATGCAAAATCCAAGAACCGAATGCAAACCAAAGGGTAGCCTCAACACCAACATTCAAAACACAAAATTAGAACCCGCACAGCAAAATAGATTGATAGATTTAAGAGGAAATACGAACTAAATCAATGTTACGACTGCAGTCAGAGACCTAGCATTGCACTTCCATAAAGTTTGGACTTTTAGTCACTTGTTGAGTTCAAAATCAAAAATTGCAGGATCCTACACTTCCAATAATGCAACTTGAAAGTATAGTTGTGTTGTGCCTCTGCTGCCTAGTAAGTACTCCATCAATCCTGTTTGAAACTTGTTTTGCTATATGTGTAAAGTTTCCAAGCCCAAGCCTGATGACATCATCAGGGTTATTTATTCAGAGCCACAGAAGACATTTAAAACAGTTGTTTCAGGCTAAATAGCTCCCCTCAAGACCTGTCAACCGACTGGCAAGTTGGTGGAGTAACCTTTTAAAGATCTTCTTACATTAGTAATATCCATTTCAATCATAAAAAATCGAGATATATGTGACTATACCTGTTATATATATGGTTAAAAAAAGGCATTTAATGGGTAGGTCACTGAGCCAAAGTCCAAGCACGTTGCTACAACAAACCAGTCTCAGATTGCATTCATTTCACATATGCATCCATGTTTAAAAGAAGGGTCACAGTGGAAGATGAGTGTGTTCCACAGTATAAATAACGTGGCCACTTAAACAGCGTGGAGCCCCAGTGGAAATGATTCGTTGATATGTGTAAACCCAACGAGGCCCGCTTCCTTAGTGACCACCACAACGTCCCAGCCCACACTCATCACCAGCATTACTCAACAAAAAACAACACCAGTTGTTATGGCAGCCGACTTGTTTGTAACCTCGCCGTGGGAACATTTTGGAATGAGGCACGGCTCCAATGGTTAATTCTTGCGTTGCAAAACACAATCAGGAACGCAGCGGGGTTAACGTGGAAATGATGAGGTATTACGTAAGGGACATTGGTCTCGCAGTTGCATTTGGACATGCTTTTTATAGTTTGTGTCGGCATGTTTGGGAGCCAGACGAGTGTGGTTTGCCACAAGAGTATAATGTGATGCAAGGAAGTTTAGGCAACAACACCGAAATATTGGTCAATCCAGTTTTTATGGTATTGTTACGAGTAAAAAGGGTAAATAAACCTATGTAGCCATGATGAGTGGGGTGCCTCACCTCCCTAATTTGTGTTTTCCTAACCCTTGTCCAGCACGACCCAACCCAAACAAGCACACTAAGAGACACACTCTCACACACACAGACACTTTTCGCTCGTCATTACACACACAAACACACCAGACAGCTGCAGCCTTTAGGAAGTGGGGGCCACTGAGAGGAGCCTGAGAGGACTGCGTGGAGATGCCGTTCTCACAGCAGCGTCCTCTTAAGTCTCACCTTGTTGTGTATGACCACCACGTTGTGGCTGTCCGCACTCAGCCAGGTGTCCATGGCCTTGCAGATGCTGCAGATCTTGTCCAGGGCCGGAGCGTGGTGGTCAGGCCAGCCAAAGTCCAACACCTGGGAGAAGAGAGAGACTCTCAGTTACGATTCAGAATTGATGGTCAGTACAACACATGGGAGAGGAAGCAAGTCAGGTTTACCTTTGGGTTAAGTTCGCTGATGTCATAACGCTTCTCACTGAGGTTGAAGAGCTAAGGAAAAAGGAAAAGCAACCACCGTCGTAACAAATTCTCAGCATTACATTGTACAGTAGATTGACAAGACAAGAATAAATGCTATTCTATATAAGATTCAAGACTGTTATCGTTGATCAGTGATCAGTCTTTAATCTGATAAAGATTTTCCTTTACTGGCTTTGCTAAGGTAATATAGCAATGCTATGCTACTACTCAATTAGCTTACTAGCTGGACATGCTAACCGTAGTTAGAGCAGGTAAACGCACTGTTTTGGGATTTTTAAAGAAAAAGATTCTTTTTTATGCTGACTGTCACCCTTGCTGAACTCTTACTACAGAAACTTTTGATTTTTTCTGGGAATAAATGTGGAGAAATCCACAGGGAGTCTCTTCCACGCAGCGAGGCATACAGCGTAACCGGACTGAAAAAGTTGGATCGATGCATCCCTATTTTGAACAATGTCCTATTAACTATTCATCTAAAATTGTTTTACACACATACAGAATAGGTTTTGAGATTAAAACAACCCAATACAACTGCAGGAAAGTGTCTGAGCCTTAAAGTTCAGTAAGTATGAAACTTGTAGCAAAAATGGCTTAAATCAGATAACATATACTGTAGTTTAAGGCTGAGGTTGTGAGTGATGAGGTTCTAGCTTGACACTAGTAGCAGCCACAGGCCAGTGAACACCAGATAGCAATACCAATAGCATCGGATGAACAGAGATGTACACAGAAACAGGTATTACATCTGTCATGTGAATGTGTGGGTAGTCTGGACTGTGAGGGATCAGCTGATGATCGGCTGACCCGGGCAGCTATAATGACTTCAACTTACTCTATTTGCTTCATTGATATTTTTTCAAAAGTTAATTGCTGTATTCCTGCCAGAATCACCCGCATGAACACAGCGAAACCGTACCAGGTAGTTGTGGCCGTGTTTGGAGCGCAGCATGGAGGCGACCTCCCGCAGGTTGGCAGCGTAGCTCTGCTCCTCCACGCTGCTGGGGAAGGAGACGGAGATGATCCTCTCTGTGATGTAGATCAGGTCCAACTCGTAGCTCTCCTCCAGGGCCTGCAGCAGACTCGTGCTCCTGTCCGAGAGATAGAGAAGCATTTGATCTTCAGTGTGGGTCAAACAGCAATTTTGCATATCAAAGGCCCCGCTGCGCAAAAAACAAAACGGAGGTGGACCGTTGGACCGCGGAATATAGCGAGGAATTTAATACCCAGAAGTAATGCAGCACATGTGATTTATAAATACGTGCTTGTGTTTATCAGACCAAATAGTGCGTGATCCCTTTGACCATGCATACCCAGGACAAGAGTGCCAAAAGTTGCCGTGTTGATGTTTTCTCTGGAAATTCCCTTCTCGTCAATGCAGCAAATTCAATTTCAGATTCAGTTGAAACAAATATCCTAATATGGTAACACACCACATAAACCGCGAGGGAAAACAGAAGAGGAAGATATTGACCTCCGGGTTGGAAGGGAGTCACTGCCCCAAGTGAGGGGGTTCAACTTTATTTAATGAAACCTTGCCAGGTATCTGTAGTAACAGTCCGCTCCTCGTTTTTTCAAGCAGTTGTAAAACCACTGTAAATCACAGCCTCTCGTGGCTTTTTGCTGAATTGAGCTTTTGTCAAATGTCTCCAAACAGCTAGTGCAGCATAATCCAATGCTCTGTTGCCAACTGATCTCATTAAGCGTTCAAAATTCCAACACTTATCTCATTATCTTCTTGATTTGCCAATGTTTTTGATTTTTCAGCTATGAAAAAACGGCTTGTTAAAAGCAACAGTTTAACACGATGAAAGTGAATAGGTGGATTTAACTTCAACAGCTTTCGCTAACTTTAAAAAGACATTGACAGATTTTTCATTTTGTGCAGAACTACTACTTTAAATGCCACTGATGATCTTGTCCATTTTAAAAATGTCTACAGAGAATGTGGATAGTGAGATGGAGAGGCGTCTGGACCCTTGGGGCCCAGACTGCAGCATATTTCCCACATTTGTCAGCTGTGAGAAGCCCCTGAGGAAATTGCTCATGTGTCTGGGACAGAAGAGCTCCCCAGGTTTACTATACGAGTACTGTAACCTGTTCTGTGCTGTACATCTGGACCCACTCAGAACTTGCTTACTGAAAATTATTCATGAAAACTGATATGTCACACATGCAATCTCTCATGTGTTGCAACATACTTTGAAATAGTTCTGAAAGTTGTGTCTTTTAGTGTTTGTAATACTTTTCTTGTTGTTATTTCTCGCATTGCCTGCATCTCTCTCTCTCCTTTTTGCATCTTTCTCAGTATTTATTGTTCTCTACTTTTTCCCTCTCTGTCTCTGCATACGTATGTCTTTGGCCTCTGGGTGCAGTCAGGGCCAATATAGACCTGTGGTTTGGTCCTGTTCCATATCCACCAACATGTGCTGACCGGCCTAGCGCCAACCTGCTTCTCATCAGCTGAAGAGATGAAGCGATTGCACTTTTTCTGCAGGTCGCGTTAAAAGAAGGAGGCATTATCTCCACACGCTCAATTTCAGCACTGCAGTGATCTCATTGCTTCATTTGAACAAAGACCGACGGTGAACTAGGAATGTTTAATATGGACACCTGAGACATTATAGGCTGTAAAACATCTCGCCGGATATTTCTTAGTAATAACAGTGAACAACCAAGACTTCTGTCTCTTCAATCTAAAACACTCAGGGGCCTCCGTCATCCCAGACTTCCTGGTGAACACCTACAGTTTCCCACGATCTCACGGGTCAATGATCCGTCAATGGTCACTTCATAAACATAGCATAAGGCTAAATACTTATTATTCCTGCAAATTATTTGCGATTAACTCCATATACTTAAAGCTGCACTAATAGTTTTTGTATTAACAATGGATGAAATGACGTGCGTAAAGTTTGTCGCATGTAATGACGAAACCGTAGAGAATTATCACCCAACCCTCAGAACTCTCCGAGAATTGTATCCACTTTTTTAGCTCATTGTTTGGGTTTTCAAGCCTACAAACTCAACTCTGATCAACCTTATTCACAGCAAAGAAAGCATCTATAAACACGCTTACTGCCAAGCACCGAGCGGGACACAGTCAAAGTTAGTGACAAGCTGACTCCAGCCTAAGCTTTTGTGGAGTGAGACTGAAATAGAGCTGAAAGTAGGGTGAACATTTAACTTCCATTTAAACAGCCATTTTTTGCTAAAATATTTGCCATAAAACATCATAATGTAATAAAATGTCTGGCCAAACACTATAAGACATATAATAGGCCTGCCATTTTAGTGGCATTATAGTTTGCTCAAAGCTGTATCTATATGATAAGGTACTGATTTCAATTGTACCATTAACATGTTGAAAGAAGCTTTTAACTACAGTTCACTTTACTGAGACATAGCTATGATGATCTGATAAGATGATTAAAATGCATGGCTCTGCAGTATTTTACAGTATGTTGTGCAGAATCAGGTGTACCAAAGTAGATAACAGTTTTAAAAAATGGAATAGGGTGTCTACAGTAGGTATGCATCCTAATTAATCTTCAACACGAATCACATTTTTTGTGTAGTGGATGAGGGCGTGTTATCTGTGTATCAGCTGTTTTAGCATTGTGCAGCACAACCCTCCATGCAGATAAAAACGTATCAGTCTGTATCAGAATGTAAATAAGCCTCTCTGGACGCACTCGTTTGATTGCATAGCCAGAGCATTACATAATAAATAACCATCATGTGCTGTTATGCACTTTTCAAAAGCTTTTGATTTTTCCTTTATATGGATGGCAAACGACTGTGATCTCATACCGTGCCTGTGCCGTTATTAGCGACGATGTATCAGATGTGAAACTGTTTTTATAACTCTGTATCAACTCTTTGACTTGCTGTGAGGTAATTAAACCGTCACTCAAACTCAGCACAGCACTTCAGCCTGTACTGTTGTGGTGTCCAGTTTTACACGTTACTTACACATCTGACAACATCTGTGACTCCCTCGGGACCGAGGGGAGAGGGGTCGACATCAAATATCTTTGTGTCCAACTAAACGGCGTGAGGTCCAGTTCAATGGCAGGGCATGTTGCCACGGCAAATATCCTATTACAACAGAACTTTGTATTTCAAATGCTTTCATGACTCCAGCTGAATGTGATAGAGGATGGATAAGGTTGTGCCTTCATTATCCTTTTTGTCCTTTTGGAGGAAACAGTGGAGATTAGGTCCTAAAATGATTCAAAAAATCCAATCCAATAAGCTGAATGAAGCCTTTTATGGGAAACTTGAGGCTTAAAGAGAAGAGTTCCTACCTTGACGGTCTGCGCCGGGACTCCATGCTCTTTGAGGATTTCGTTGAGCCCTGCCAAACACAAAGAAAAACAGTAGTGCGTTAACATAAGCCGATACATATAACTTCCATACCTACTATTTGTATATACTGTATATCAAATTTTATTCATTAAATTAACGGTTCATTGCTGTGTGAAAAGACATCAAAATAAGCTGTTTGTCCAACAAAAGAGCTTGTTTGAAACAGTTGTTTGTTGGTTTTAGTATCATAAAGTCCATAATGTCACCAATGGTTCCACTGATTGTGGATTTACCTGCTATAGATCTGTGATTTGTTTATAAGGCAGTACCGAAACCAAGCTGTTTTCTGACAGTACCACAGGTCCGATCTGGTTAAAGCCAGAATTAGTAGGATTTTCCTAAAATACGATGTACTCCTACAATAATAACCCCTATCAATCATCACCTATGACCCACTAGAAGTGTGTGATGGTGTATGTATCCACAGAGACCATACCCTCTGCCTGGATTTTCTGAGTTGGGGACGATTCTGGGGGCTAACCTCAATAAAAAACGTAGCAACCGGGTGCAAATATAGCGAGGCGAAATGCCAAGCGGGCCAAGTGTGAGCTGGGGCTGGCTTTCACCCAACGGCGAGCGCTGTAACACCCGTTGAGCCGGGGAGGAGGGGCCAACTTTCAACTGTGGGTTCACAAACTGCAACCGACACGTCCTACTCATTCTGCCTTTAATGTTGTTGACTAGTTCAAAATTTGACATATTTCCAAAGGCAATTGTAAATTGTATTCATCCCTCTAAATTGAACACATTGAGAGACAAATGCTGATTATTGCCTCACTTTACACTTGAGTTCACATTTTACCCACAGTGCGCACAGTGCAGCTTGCAATGGGCCCTCTCATACGATGCTGTGTGAGGATGGCATCACATGGCACCCTCACAAAGCAAAGCAGAGAGGCCCTCGCGGAGGAAGTGTGGCTGAAGTTGATTGACTGTGTTTTGGCTCCACTATGCCTAGTCTGCCTCGCCTCCCCCTTAAAGCCAGCTCGAGGAAGGGGTCAAAGGCCATGTGGACTTGTTCACTCCCCTGTGGTGTTTGGGTCACATGTACACAGGAGGGGGCTGTGATCCATCATCATCCATTAGATCAGATTGGCTGACTGAGCCCCGCTCGCCTCCCTGGATGAGTTTCAGCCTGCTTTGCTCTCCTAACGTCTGACCGTCTGTCAGAGGACACATTCGAGCTAACGGAGACATCATCCATGTGGGTAGTTAATCATGTGAGTGGGCCTGTTCCAATGTTGTTGTTGTTTCAGCCCAAAATGGTAACATTTGTAGCAGTTTTTAACCCCAAAAAAATCCTACAAATCAGCAACCTTTTTGTTTTTATCTTGCAATACATTGCGAGTAACGTTATAAAATTACAAGCCAGCTGTAAAAAGTTGCAAAAATTTAAATAAGTTTGTGAATTTCTAAGGATGCCCCACACTTAACTCAACTAGCTAGCGAGGAAGTTGAACGCAGTTCTGTAAGTTTGTGAACTAACTTTGTGGTGGTGATCCAACCTTATTTTCCTGACCTTGATAGGTAGAAAGTTGGAGATTGAAGGGAACAGAAGTCAAATAAAAGAAAACAGGCAGAATCGTCACATGTTGATGCTGCGTGATTGAAATTTCTTGGTGGGGCTGAAGATCGGGTGGCGAGTGACACGTTATGTTGTTGATCCTGTGTAGCGTAAAGGAGCTCATAAATGATATGATGATATCGGATCGCTGAATAGCATACTCGCCAGCATTTTAGGTATTTCTGATACTGATATTGCAGTAAAAAGGTGCAAGCATTCCTGCAGTTTGTTTTTTTTTAAAGGAAAGTTCTCTTAATACAACACATATTGATTGAATTTGTGTTCAAATTCATTCTTACTGAATGAATACTCATACATATACGGGCACAAACGCAGACATAAATGAATCAGACGACACAGTGTTTGCCAATATTCTTTTCTGTCCCAGCAAATCCACTTCATTTCAACAAATTCTATGCACCATTCCTTTGCTCCATCTTACATGGTAAGTATTCACACAAGTCCGTGGCCCGACTGAGGCGACACAAAGCAAATCCCTCATTTTCTTTCTGTGCTTCAGCCTAAACGTTTCAGTATGTTGCCGGGGGCAATAACGTGCAGTCGCCAGAGGATGACAGAGATGAATGACCAAGAAACAGCCTAGAAGAGAGTTCAGTTGCTTGTGTTGAGATGTGGAACCTGTTGTGCATGAAAGTCTGAAAGCCCAAAGTCCTCTTAAAAAGGACCACTGTGAGGTGATCAGAACATTTTTTTTAATGACAAGGTAAAGCATGTCAGAGAAGTCCTGTTCGTCGGACGACTAAACACATTACAAAGCGCCACCACGTCAACCAGAATGCAAACAAATACCTTAATTAGAGAGTGGGAGAGAGTTTCGAGGAGATGGTGTTTATATTGTGCCGCAAAGACGCCAGTAAACTCACAGTCTTTGCTTCAGATTAGTCTGAATTGGCGTGCAGAGCAATTTATGAGAGACGACATGTACGTTAAAGTGCAACCATCTGGGTAAATAAACGTGTCGCAGTGAAGCTACGGCCAGTAATGAGATGATAACTTTCTCTCGCTCTGATGCGGTCACTGAGAAACTGAAAGAGATTGTGATGTTCATGTGCTGTGATTCTATGAATGGAGAGTACTGTTTAGCCATGACTATCCACGGAGCCAGATTTAGAGTAGAAAACATTAGCTCCCGAACATCACACAATCCCTAAGACCTGTTACTCTGATTTGAGAACTTGTGTTGGGAAGAAGGGGGGAGGGGGAGGGGCGTTAGCGGGTGAGGAGAGGAGGAGGCGGTAGGAACTGGAGTGGGGGGGGGGGGGGGGGGGGGGGGGTCCAGCAGGCCTGTTTCCAGATGAAAACCATCTGTGGAGGTTGACTTTACAAGCAGGCCATTCAAATTAACCATCTGAGAAAGAGGAAGGGAGGGAGGGAAGGGTGAAAGACGTTGGGGGCTGGTAAAAGTCCGCGAAGGACACGAGAGAAACTGCTCTATAACAAAGAAAAAAGCAATGAAGGAGCGGACAAGAACGAGACCCATGTTGAATAAATCCATCCATCCATTCGCTCCTCCACCGCGGTCCTACCTTCCTGAAAAGGTGGCCCGTACTCCATCGCCATGCCCCCCTCAGAGAGGAGAGCCGCCTTCTCAAAGACCCTCCTCGGTTCATCTCTGGAGAGCTCCCTCTGCCTCTCACCGCTATCTGTCCGGCAGTGAATTGTCCTCCGTGAAACCTCTCCCTTTTCTCTGACAGCGGAGGAGGAATCCGAAAAAAAAGAAAATCTATTTTGGGCTGTAGTTGCCTGCAGTGGGCCACTTCATGCTCCGGCTCAGACCAGACTCCTCCACAACGCTCCTTGTTTTCTGTCTTCTGTGTCCGCTCTGTCTTCACCCTTCCTTCTCTCACTCTCTGTCTGTGTGGTGGCCACCCTCTCCCCCCCCCCCCCTCCTCCTCCTCCCACTCGGCCTCCTATCACGTTATCTCTCCCCCTCATATTCAACTTTTCCCTCCCTCTCTCTCTCTTTCTCATCTGTGTAGGGATCTAAATTGCAACTGCTAACCCTTTCCGTCTCCTTGGGCAAACATCTGGGGTCTGATGCACGTTGGTGCGCACAAACACAAGCACACATGAATCAGCTGACTGTAGCTCTTCACCACTCTGTGTGGGGAGTCACGGCCGGTCAAATGTCATTCTGCAAACATGCTTGTGTGTGCGTGCGTGTATCTGCGTGTGAGAATCTTATTGTGACCTCAAGCCAGTTGTGTTTTTTGCACATGTGATTTCACAAACAACCTGTTTTTGTGAAGTCTATAATGTTATTATCACATTTTAGTGTTTCTAAATGGTGTGTGTATTCTGAACTTTCCTCTCTTTCCTGCCATTTTTGGCACATGAAAACACCTTAACTTTTTAAAGGTGCAGTTAAATCTCAAATACTGAAAGGAGTCAACAAAGGCAAAGAAGCAGATAAACACCAGTGCAACCGAGGTACAAACTGTTCCAGTGAAGCGAGAGAAGCAAGTCATAAGATGAATCGTTTCGATGCTCCGAGGCGATGAGGCGTGGGGCAAACATCTCCCAGACGTCACAGCGCAACCAAATGCCCATGAGCAGACGGTTAGCAACTGCACTCGCACACACAGACAGACACACATTAAATGCCTGAAACACAGACTCATTCAATCACACACTTATAATCACTGTGTGTGTTCCAGGCTCGGCCCCTCAGTGAAGGTGCAGACCAAAATATGACCTGAGAGGGAAAACTCATGAGCCGTGCAAAAACACTGTCCGATGTGAAGCTCCCGCATGACGGGGGAGGAGTGTGTGCTCTTCTGCACTACACTGTATGAGAAAAGTGAAGAACAACACGGGGAATGCCAATAAAAGCAGCCACACACACACACACACACACATATTTTGATCGTTGTGGAGAAAGTGGGCACGTGGCTTTGGGTGGTAACTCTAAATCGGTTACATGATTCTTCCTTTCCCAGACAAAATACAACTCACAGGAGGTTGTGTCATGGCCGGCCAGGGCGGAGTGAGTCCAAGGCAAACATGTGCACCCTAATTGTTATGTGTGTGTTCACCCAACATGCACGTATGGAGGCGGGAGTCTTCACCCTGAAGCCACGATAACTACTTCATTAAAGTTCATCCGCTATTTCTAAAACAACCATATGTAGGCTCGGGGGGGGGGGAGTGATATCATAGGATAAGCCATGTGTGTCTGATTACCCATCACTCCCTGGGGTGTCTACACTGAACATCCCTTGTGAAAGCCCAACGCAGTAGTGATGTATGGTGACCAATGTTCAATCAATTTGTAAGGATGCGTCCTTTTTAAGTAATTCTGATTCCACTTACTTTCCCAATATGTACAGCAGCAAATTACACGTTACGACAGGCTGAATGTGGCGCCGGCCAGTAGTAAAGCATACGGTACGTTTCCTCACAGAAGCGAGACTCAGGATTTTAATGGTAAAATCAGAGATGAGGTGACTTCAGAAGTGGTTCATATCTGCTACTGTACTTGTGCCTGTGACATTCAGCCCATTCATTTATGCAGGGTGTGGTGCCCCCATATCCAGCGAAAAGGAAGGGTGTGGAGGTTTGAGTGGTGGATGGGAGTTCAACATAATTATCCAACTTTGATGCAGGAGAACAGAGACAGAATCTATCCCTAACGTGGACTATGCTGTTGTTGCCATGCACAGATACTGTAGTAAGCAGGGCATTGTTCGTAATTGACCACTATTGCATGGTATTGCCAAATGGCAACAATTACTTTGGTTAAATTTTACTAAATTGACAGTAATATAAATCCATGTTTTATAGTTTAGTTGTGAAAAGGGATCTTTTATTTTGAATGACAGACTTTTTCCATGAACACGTGTTATTAAGGTCACTATCTGAGGGCTCCCAAATATTTAAGCAAAATGTATTCAAGACAAACATTGAAAGACTATCTGGGATGAGTTCACTTTGAATTTCCATCATGAAACCAGTTTAGATGTGATGTGCTTTTTATGAAATGGTAAAATGCCTTTGTTGATGTATGGCCACAATATGCGAATAATGAAGTGCGACAGCATTGTGTCACCTGATCCGGTCAGAACAACACAGACCACTGGCCCTAGAAGCTAACGAGAAGGGGAGATTCCAAGATGCAGGAGCAGGTGCTCCGAGTGTGCCGTGCTCACAGAATCAGCAGCTAATCACACAGTGTGAAAACAGATCTAATGGGAACAGAATCAGCAGCCAGGCTGGATTCCCGGCTCAGAAACACCTCATCGTTCTTTTTTTAACACTTTGCAAGACACAGCAAGACACTTTGATAAGTTGCTCATTATCTTGTGAACATTGGATGTGTTTTTGTTAGAAACTGCACGAGTTGGCCAGAAAATTGGACAAGGCCAGTCCAACCTTTGAACAGTAAACAAAACGTTCTTCCTGTGGACACCCATACTTCAGAGGACAAATGAAACAATGATTTGTAGACTTTGTAACGTATCAAGTATACACCTGCTCTAATTGAGAAGAGTTTCAGCTGTTTTCAGGTGTATTTGCTGTAAATGAAGCACAGCTGTCACTTCACGCCAGCTGGAACGCCTCTATCCGCACACAATTAATACCCCTCCTACATCAAACAGGTGATCTGTCTGCAAGCGTCACAGAGGCGGACTAATCTGCTTCAGCTCAGTAATCTAAGCGAAAGAGATGGCTGGACCTGCGAAAACAAAAGTTGAAACTTACCATGGTGTCTACGTGTTTGAGAGGGAGGTCACCGCTCGGCGCCTGTTCAGAGAAAAGACAGAGAAAAGGAGAAAAAAAAACGGAAAGTAAGTTCAATAATGTGCCTGCAACACAACATTCCTCAAAAGCTCATATCGTGTAACGTCGCGTCATGTCACATCGTCTCCTCTCGTGCTACGTCCGAGTTACGCTGGGCGCCATTCTTTGCCCTAATGTGGCCTGGAGCAGAGCGGGGCTCCACCTTGAATGCGTGGGACCATCTATAATCCCTCAGTGCAAATATTTACACAAAGTGACAAGTCTGCTTCCATTAGCCAAGACCTGAGAGTCCATCCGTAGAACTCTCTTTTCCAACGCCATATACAGCTATGGACAGAGAGAGAGAGAGAGAGAGAGGCCAACAGGGACAGAACGGGAGAGAGAAATAGGGGACAGGGGGAGATAGAGGAAAGGAGAAAGACAGAGAAGAGAGAAATGAAAGACGGTGGGTAGATGTAGAGTCGGGGCCGGCTGGGTGTTGGTTATAGAGGGAGATGAGATGGAGGTGAAGAAAAGGGGTTCATGGCAGAGAGCAGAAGAAGAAAACCATCAGAGCGATCCATGATGTCATGAGCATGTGTGGGCTTGGCTCACCGCAGACTACCACACATGCACAGATGTTACTTAGCGTAACAGATTCGGTGCAAGCTGTATTAACAAAAAGTCATATCTATATGTGGCAGAGAGGACAGCAAATGACTAGAGACACTTTTCACTGCAGTAAAACTGAATATGTTGGGCGTGGTCTCTCCGACAAATGGCTGATCAGCGAGGATGCATGTCTGATCAGTTGTGACGTTCCTTGTCTCTGTAGATCGTCCTTGTATAGAGCAATAAGTGCAGTACATCATTGACTCCTGACCCTTTTGTTGTCATAGAGATTTTGAGTGATTGTCAAAAGATGGCCTCAACAGCTTCTTAATGTCGACCAAAAAACAGCACATGAGGTTGTAAAAAGTACTGAAATTTGGCATTTTGTGCTTGGTCAGATTCTAAGCTTTGTCTACTTTACTCTCTAATCTAAATCAGGGAAACTGTTTGAACAAAATTTGGATGAAATGTATTAAATTTAAAAAAAACTTAAGTTTTCAACAGGTTTATAATCTCCAAATGATAACCCCCATCGCACAGGCAAGTAAACAGACTGTCCTTATTCCAAATGAGCTGCATACATGTCCAAAGAATACTCCCGAACCTGAATTATGTCGGCATATCCCATATGTCTTAATCGGGGAAATACTTCATTCAAAATAAAGCCTAATCCCAACACGTACACGACCCGTATCAAATTCAGAATATTGTGATATTTGGTATAAAAAGTGGAAATATTAGTGTTCATGTCAACGTTGTCAGTGATAGGACACATCAGGCTTTTGGATACACAGACAACAACAAAAAAATGTAATATCACCAGACTTGTAATTGGGAAGGAAGCACCAAAAGTGGAGGCCTCCTTCTGGACAGTAAACACACAGAGAGCTGCACTGTGACACCAAGGATGCTCTGCTTCTGGAGAAAGCTTCAGTGGAATATAAACAGTAAAGGCAAAGGGTCAATTATAGTCTGGCTGTGCAGGCCCCAGAATATAGACTGAACGCACAGAGCAAACCACCAATCAGTAACAGAGAGACAGAGAGAGAGAGACGTGGGAATCATCCTAACCAGTGAAATACCAACTTACAACATTGTAAAACAACCACAGAATAAAGGGAATGGTGATTAAATTAATAATACAATGCCACGGAAACAACTTTGTGCTTAATGTCAGATCATGACCATCTGCTTTCTCTAGGCGGGTGTGTAACTGTGGTTTATTGTTGTACATTAGACAAGTGGAAGACAAAGTTGCTTTAAGGAACGAAGGGAAAGGAAACACCAGACCGACGTTTCTGAGCCTCTAAATGCAGACCGTGGATTCGCTCAGAGGTCGAAAATTTGCAGCCGCAGGCATTCTCACACAAATAGAGCCCATTGTGTGTACACCCAGAAAAACACACGGACACAAACAATTCTCACATTGATATATTCTAACATGTGCGTTTCCGCTTGTTACAATTGCAGCCAGATGGCCGGAGTGAGTGTGTGTGCTGCGTGTACATGTGTGGGTATCGTCGATGGGGCTTGCAACTAATTCAGAGAGCATGAGAAAGCCTGGGAAGCTGTGTATCAGCAAAATAGTCCACAGAAGAAGTGTCTGCCGTTTCTCTTTGCCCTCATCAAAGGAAACGTTTGAGGGGGAACTCTAGCGCTGAAGCAAGTAATTGTTTCAAAGACATTTCCTTTTTCAAAATCAATGCAATTCTTAGTAGCCATGCAAAATAAACCTCTGGCGAATCAATTAAAAGCCAGAACTGGATCTTGTCTGTTTTCATAGACCACTTCACAGCCTCAAATTATGAGGATTTGTGCTGTGTCATAATGACGTTCCGACTCAGGGACAAGAGTTTGATCCCCGGGGCCCAGAGCTGAGTTCAGAGTCAAGCGAATACATGCTGGTGACAAACAGCAAACTAGTCTCGTCAATGTTGAGAGGGGAACAAAGAGCCCTTGATGATTTTACGTTATCACACTATGGTACGACGTATGGACATGACCGAGATCGTTTTTTGTTGACGATGATGCCAGAATAAGCAGCAGGGTTTTGTCTACCATTATAAGACTTAGGCATTGTTCATTTGTGTTAAAAGAGTCAAAGAGTCTATTTCATTTATTGTTTTGGTTGTAAGATAAGATAAGATAAGATAGACTTTATTGTCCCGAAGGAAATTTGTCTTGGAAACACTGTATTTTTAAAATATATCAGTGGCACACAACGGTCTTAAAATGACAACAATATAACTTATTGCAAATATTTCTAAGACAACATATTGTGCAACAAAAGTAGTTATCGTCATAACAACAGCAAATGTTAGCCACACCACCGCAGGGCAGTAGGGTCCAGTAGGGTCTTACATTAAATCATTGTTCTGTAGCCAAGAGCTTTGCAACACGTGCAGGGAGACTGAAAACACAAAACCTGGCAATTCCAGTGCTCTAAATATCTATGGAGGCACTTATTTCTGCATCTTTGGATATTGATTATACAGTAATGAAATTTAAAGGGTGAAAAAACATCATTCCTTGCAGATACTCTGGCTTTCTGGCTCCTTGGCCCAGTCCCTAGCTTAGAGCCATGCCACCTCCTTAAGCCAAGTCAGATGAGCATCATATTGCATTTGTTCTCATGAGAGGAGCTAAATACAGGCTGTTGATCTCCCATGTGGTAGCAGAATAATAACAGACATAATAATAGCCGAGCAGTATGATAATATTGTGCTTGTAAGGAAGACAAGGGTCAGTATTTCCTGCTCTAAAGCTCAGAATGAATACATGTGGGAGGTGAAAGAGTTCTTATTGATCAAAACCAGTGATAAAAAAATCACTTCAACGGGTGCTTACATCTGCGTTCTGTCACAGTTTACTGACGACTATTTTGGACGACTGTCATTGTCCTACTGATTATAGATCAGCTGAAGGAACATTACGATAACACTGAATTCACCAAAGTAAAAGCTGAGATTTGGGGACGTGGAGACTTCGCTCCATTTCAATCACACAAAGCAAGAAACACGAGAAGTCCGACAATCAGGCAGGTTACGAACAACGTAGATTCAACGCAGATCATCTTTGCAGAAGATCTCTGCAATCTCTGCAACTGTTTGGATGTTGCACCGCTCACATTAGACCTCTTATCTGCCCCAAAGACACTTGTTTTGCTCATGTTGCTCATGTAAGCTGGTGAGCACAATGTTTTATTACCAAACAGAATGACAGCAAAACTTACAAAAATAAGATCCAAGTTGTGATAAACTGGAATTTACCTTGTATTACTCTTTCACACAGCACATACAGTCCCTTCAAGAATTCAATCCGCAGCTCATTCGCAGCTATAATCACATGCAATGCGTCTGAGTCTGCTTTGTTGCTCATGTTCACGTGCTGTGAAAACTGTCGCATTGAAAACTAACGGATGATGAGAGAGCTTCTTCAAAGCTTCGACGTGTCTGTCTCTAAGTACATCACAACAGAGTGTGACTTTTCACCCACAGCTCTTCATCTCTTCCAACGCTGTAGCGTAGCATGTGCCTTCTTTCACATGAGCACAGTGGCTCCTTTGACCAATTCACCAAATTATAGCCCCACACCTTTAGGAAGGCAGAGGTAGCTGGCGCGTTGGGAGTTCCCCCCCTGAGCGGCGGGGATAAAACGTAGCCCAAAGCAGGGCCTCTGGGGAAATGACCCAGGGCTAAATATACAGCTGTGCATCTTTAGAGCTCGAGAGACACAGCCCATTTAGCACGGCACGGCCCGGGCTCAGTGCGGACGGCGGAGCGGTTACAAATCACCGCTTTGGGTGCATGTGTGTGGGTTTGAGACGAGGGGAAGAGAAGGGGAGTATTTCTCTGTGAGTAGGGAGGCAGACGGCATCGATCGAGACTGTTGGAAGGACTGAGTGTTTACGTTCAGTCGGTGAGCTGAGCGGGCAATAACCGACGCGTGTGTGAAACTGAGAAGGATGAAAGTAAACCCTTCCATTATTATTCATAGCTTCGCTGTAGATGCACAGAATTGTGGGATAGTGTGTCTGTTGGGTGTGAGTGTCACGGAACACACACGGGATGCTCCACATTTTTTTTCCAGAGTACAACCTTGTGTGTCTATATGTCTGTGTGTGTGTGTGTGTGTGTGTGTGTGTGTGTGTGTGTGAGTCAGACCAAGGGTGTGCGCCCAAGTGCCACTCATCCTTTCCTCTCCCTCGCACCTACTACCTTCTACCCTGAACGGCCTCATGCAGTTTCAGGACAATTCTTTGGAAACTTAAAAACACACGCACGCACGCACACACACACACACACACACACACACACACACACCCCATCTGTACTGGCAGCAGAGCTGCTACGCACCAGCTCTACTCCTATGTTTACACTTTACACATGTTGGACAGTGGCCCACACAGAGCT